AACGTCGCTGCGCCGGGAGACACCAGCGAAGTATGGCTGAAGTATAAGACACACGTCGAGCGTCCGCGCGAGTAACGGCAGCTCTCGTATTACTCGCGTTTTTCAACAGGTGGTGTGAACGTTGGCAGCGCGACGCGAGCAGCGATGAGCAGCGCGACAAAACGAATGCGCCGAATGTGGGAAAACACTCCGCTAAATTCAGCATCTGCCATCTGCGCCGCTGCGGCTTCAGCGATATTTTCCAGATACACGCACGCGGCACGTCACTGCGTTCTTCGATGCGACTTGCGCGAGAGTTGACGCGGCGCGTTAAAATGTTCCCGCGCGAAGCAGCCGGCCGGCTTTGAGGTGCGTCCGCTCGTTCGTTCGTTCGTTCGTCGCGAATCCGCGACTTTTCAAACCAGATGATCCGGACGAGCGTTATTTTTATCGTTTGTTTCTTCGAGAAAGCATCTCTTCGATCTGTCCACAGTCGTCACGGATAACGCGGATAACTTCGACGGTATCTCGTCTCATCTTCGAACAACACTCGTCATTTCTGACCTACTTATTCGCGACTTTTCGCGCGCATACACGCGCGCGCGCGCGCGTGAGATGCGCTCCTTCGACGCGAGGAACGACAGATTAATGAGCTGCGCGGAAACAGCCGCTTTTGTGGAGTTAAAAGCGCACGCGACATCATCGGCGCGGTGCGCGGTGTTTCGCGTAGACGCGGACCTTGACAAATGGACGCTGCAGCTGGCTTCTCCCTCGGGATTTCGATAAATTAAACATGCCGGGGAAGGATACGATTTGTAAAACGTCGCCGCGGGATGCCGGGCAACAACGACGCCCGTCTCGCGCAAGACATCGCGACATTTTTCTTCGCTACTCCGGCATTCGTCCACACGCGCGCGCAAGCATGCATATTAATATCGCGCACCTGTACGCGTACGCGCGCCGCCGCACACATCGTGCGGACACACGACCCGACATGGAGGGTGCGCGGCACTGATTATCACGATGATGATGCGGCGCATACGCGACACAGGTAACACGTCCGCGAGTCGCGAGGATCTTCAACGCGAGCGTCGCAATCGCGAGGAAAGTGTCTGGAATCAATTAGCATAAAACGACATGTTAACAATTGCAACAAGTGCTGCAAAGTGCTGAACACGGCGATAAAAGACGCCGGGGGATGACGGCTTACCGATATTTCCGCCCGACAACATGGCCGTCTGACTCGTCGATTTCACATCGTGTGAAAACGAGAGGATACGAAAGTAACGAGACTTGTTTCCTCAGAAATCGGCGAGTCCGCGGCGAATAGACCACCAAGACGAGAAACCCGACATGTTTAGCGCAGACGTGCCTTCCGCGAAGGCTGTGCTTCCGAAGGGACATAAAAATTCCTCGGACCACATCGGCGCCGCGGCACGCAGGGATATTCAGACCCGGATTTTTTTTTTCGCCCGATTACTTTTCCAATCAGAATTTTACGAGTCTGCCGGCCGTCTTTTCGCGCAGCCCTCCTGCCACCGCGCGCCGTGCGGTTGCGACGCGGCGGTCCGGACACAGAGAAAAAGAGAAAGAAAACGGCCGGGGAATCGGCCAATCGGCGTTATAGGGTTTGCTGAACGAACCCTTAAACGGGTCACCGATACATTAATTCCTGTCGCTGTGTCTGCTCAACGTTAACGAACTCATTACGTAACGACGCTCGTGCGGTAACGACGCCCACACCATCGTCCGCTCGTCGCCTCTAGAAAAATGGGAAGCGCAGATCAGCCGTGGCGACGGCGGCGGTGGTTTCCGGTAATTGAGGAACGGCCACGGGTACTTACGATGCGCTTCCTCTCATCTTACGCGATTTAAGAGACGCGTTCATTAAAGGAAAAACTCGTTGGGAGTCGGCAAACGGCTGTATCCCCCGCTCGTATGTACATAACAAGGGATAAGTCGAAAATAACGATGGTTTTATCATATCGCGTCCGCGGTAGTTTAGTTACGACACACGCACACACATGTATACATGCGCTTACCGTGAAACGATCATCGTGTACCAGCGAGTTCTTCGATCCGCAAAATAATCGTATTCGCTCAAGCACAGTTGCACGGTTGCGCTATTTTCGCGCGATCCACTTCCGACGAGAATTGACTTCTCCGAGTTGATGTCTCAATAACGGCGTGTGCTAAAAGAAAAAGTGCACAGTCTTACGACTCGTACAATCGCGCTGAGTTGTCCCGGCAGTTTGACCAAGAATCACGCGATCAAGTGTTGATTTTGAGAAAAGCGACGAGGCGAGAGACGAGCGCAGGGATCGAAATCCGCCGCCGTCGGCGACGAGAAGCGCTCGGTGCCGCCGCTATTCGTCGAAGCCGCGCCAACTGCTCGGCGGGGTTAATAAAACCGGGCTACTTCCTCGCTACTTGGTGCGCTATAGGACGAGCGACGGGCCGCGAGAAATCGTAATTTAAATGGAGAGATGCAATTTCGCGTTAATGGGGAGAGCCGCGGCGTAAAAAGTTTTACGAGCTTCCACGACGCGTCGTCGTGTGTAGCCGGGTGGAAAACTCGACTTCCATTCGCGCGACATTAGCCAATTTCCGGGACTCTCGCGCGACTTTCATACTCCGGCGGGCGTGTATCGCGCGCTTTAATGAACTTGGACGCGGACGGACCCCGGCGGAACTTTTCCCTTGCAATTAAAGTGACTGTCGTGACTGCCGGGTGAGACACGTTCAGAGAGGGAGAGACGGAGATAGAGATGAAGATAGAAAGAGAGGGAGAGAAAGCGAGAGAAATCCGCGAGAGGACCGCGGAAGCGGGCCAGTTGGTAACGAGGAGATATCGACTGACAAGCTGGAGGGTTGAAACTACCTCGCGCTTGCCGTAGCCGGCAAGCGTTATCATCGACCAAGGAAAATCGAACACCCCGTGTTACCGGCGTTACACAGAAACAGAATATATGCTTTCGGCGAGTCAACGTCTCTCATTCTTTTCTTCCTTTTTCTCATTTTTCAAATCGAAGGGGCTATATTGCCATCACGATATTTCCAAATGTCATCGAAATTCCATCAATCTACTTGTTCACAGACTTCTTCAATGAGTAAACTTAATTCTACGACATTGATCAATTTTGTCGCTAAATCTATTTCTCTTCATTCGCATTTCTTTTCGTTTCAATTTCCCCCAAGGTTTCTCTCCTGGCTCGGAGATCTTCATTCTTCGGTGGTAAAGTTTATTAACCGGGACTGATAAAAGTAATAAATCATTTAGTTAAGACGCAAACCCTACTTAGCTGAGACTCGAACCTGGTTGAGACTCGAACTGGTCTTTCCGCGAAATCGCTAGATTGTACCACGTAACCCATTTAACGCGTTTTGATCCTACAGTCGCATTTACGACTAGCGGGTCGAGCTCTTATTGCAAAGTGAAGTTCTCACGTCTCTGCTGCGAGTCGCCACCATCTTTAATGAAAAATCGAAACTCCTATACGACGTGATTGTAAGATCGGACGACCTTTCTTCATCTCCAAGTGGTACGGCTCGACGTTAGGTCAGACGAGCTTTTACTTTCAGATAGCACGACTCTCAATGGCGAGAATTGTGAAGCCCATGAAATATTATTAATAATAATTCGTCCAATTATTCGTTTATTATTCATCGAATTCATCGGTCTATCGAATATTAAATAATCGCGCAAAAAAGTAAAATTTAATCAATAATTTTCACATGTCGATTCCTTTTCTCAACATCGTAAATCCCTACCGGCATGTTTCCCGCGCTCATCGACGGATGGAAGCTCGCAAATAGACGGCGCGATAAAAGCGATGGTTGATAAACCTGCACCTGCCAGTCTACGCGCATCGCATATTGATCGAAGGTAATCCCGCGAATAACTAGTTCACGTCAAAAGCGGAAAACGAATGTACGAACTCTTGCGTGCTTTCTATACGCATGTGCCTGACATTTATTAAATAACGACAACGTAAATTTTTCGGATAATTTTTTCTACAGGCTTTATCTACATGAAAAAAATTGTTTTCTCTTGAAGTAATATAATAAGCTCTTTTTCAAGTACATTCGGACAAGCTTCCATTGCTTCTCTTATGCATTCGCATGATCTAGAGCATGTAAATAATTTTCCGGGCAATATGCAGTTGCGAACGACATGGAATCAGGAATGCGCGACGCGAATCGTCTAATTGCGCTCAGGAAATTCTACGAAACGGTAAATACAGGGTGTTAATTGATGTCAATGAGCGGCGTAAAAGCCCGTAACACGAGACGAGTCGAGACGACATGAGAGAGAAAGAGAGAGAGAGAGAGAGAGAGAGATAGTGGGCGGAGGAAGAAGAGAGGGGGAAGGAGAAAAAAAGGAGAGGAAAAGCAGCGCTAAAGCTTCCCACGTGAAAACACAATCAACCGATGGAAATTGACAAAAAAGCGTATATCCAATTTTGATTGCTTGCAATCACTGCGCGCGGCCGACCGGCGGAATCGAGACGGGCCGGTAACGCTTACGATCAATTAATAATTGAGCAATACGTGTGCAAAACAAACAAAAACACGATATTCAGGATCGCGGGGGAAATGATGTGCAACGCGGCGAGGCAGAAACTGGCGGAGTATCGTAAGCGCGACGATAAAACCACCAAGCAGTCGAGAAGGCGAAAAAGGGACAAGGAGACACAGTCGAGAATCCCGGAATAGATCCTGAAGAGCGATTTAATCCTATTTGTGTCGTCCTACGAACACGGAGCACGCACAAGAGAAAGAGAGAGGAGAGAAAAAGAGAGCGAGACAGAGAGAGGTAGGGGGATGTCCCGAGGGCGAGGCGGAATGAAAAATTCCCCGGCGGCTGGAATATTCCGAGAAGTTACGGAATGATTAAGTGAATCGCGCGCCACGTTCGCCTAGCTGTTCCGGGTTTATGAAATCGAATTAACTCGCTCGGTGCTCCGTCTTATTTTTCCTTATCCGACTATCCCCGCTTAACCGCGCATTCGATTCTGCTTTATGTTGCAGGTTACTCCGCGGCGGCACTCCTGGCGATTCTCTTCTGCATCCCCTTCGCGCTCAGGGTGCTCATCCATAAAGAAACGGGAGGATGGACCAGCTGGTCGCAGGCCTTCTACCATGTCCATCTCGAGCTCTTCCTCGGTAACGGTTGCCTGGGTAAGTGCAACAACGATGATGACGACGACGACGACGACGACGACGACGACGACGACGACGATGATGACGACGGTGTTGCTTCCCATCAAAACGCCACGAGAAAATTCCGCATCACACCAGCGGAAAAAAAGCCGAGACCGCGACGACAACCACTCTTCTCCCATTCACCATTCTCTCTCGCGGATACAGCTGATACAGTGATCCATACCGAGGGAATAAATTTATCTCTGCCCTCTTTCCTTCGCGCATTATCCGGAAAACTGTGCGCGCCGAAAGAAACAGAAGATGCTCGAAAGTTCGTGCTCGCGGCGCGGGCGCGGCGGCGGTAAACTTTGGCCACTTCGTATCTCGCCGAGCTCTTATAAGTTACGATGCGATGATAGCGATTAGAAGTTTGCCCCGATGTATAGCTGAAAGTGGTGCCGCTCGGGCAAACGGCGCGAGTACGCGAGGTCACTTTGCGTAAACGCGATGAATTGCGAGAGCCGTCCGCTCTTCTCTGTCTCCCTCTCTTCCCCTTTTTTTCTTTTATTTCTCGTTTCCCCCGCGGCTATGAAATCGCGCGACGGTTTGGGCGGGCGACCGTGACGAAGAGGGACAGAGACAAAGAGAGAGAGGGTGAGAAGGGGGAAGGGCTTTTAAGGTCGACTCGTATAGCGCATTCGAGAGATATAGAGGTTAATTGTATGCACAGGGGTTGGAGTAATGATGCTTCTGGCATTGACAGTGGAGCGTTACGTAAGCGTCTGTCATCCTGGACAACACACACGGCCACTCTGTGGACCTCCTCACCTAACAGTGGTGCTCATACCACTGGCTACATTTCTCGTTTATCTGCCGAGCGTATTTCGGGATGAAATTACGACCTGCCTGCTGGCGCCCGGCAGCCCCCTAATCTACCAGAAGAGAGAGAATCAGTCGTTTCTCAACTCGTGGTACTATCAGGTAATTTGTGCATTTTATGCGGGCTCTCGTTGCTGTCTCTCTCCTTTCTTTCTCTCTCTCTCTCCCCCCCTCTCTCTCCCTCTCTCTCTCTCTCTCTCTCTCTCTCTCTCTCTCTCTCTCTCTCTCTCTCTCTGCTAGTCTCGTGTATCTCGAGGCCGGAGTGTTACGTAGCGTTACAAGATAGTTCTCCCGTACTAATTAACGATAAAGAGCGTCCGTGTCAATTGCACCGGACGTCCCATTAGCCCCAAACTGCTAAAAACAATCTGACATCCAAGCCGCGGGGTCGCGGATCGGCGTCCTATATATTCAATTATGCATCCTGTTTACGATCTTAAAGCCTTACCTTTGACTTCACGTTACAATTTAACGAGGCTGTGACGTGTGGCGCGATAATGTATTTTCAGGTGTACAAGGTGGTGCTGGAGGTGGTTTTTAAAGTGGCGCCGACGATCCTACTCGCGGGATTCAATCTGAGGATAATGATAGTGTACAGGAGATCCTGCGAGCGACGTCGCAGGATGACTTTATCGAGGACCGTCAGCAACGACGAGGATCCCAGAACTTTCGCCGAGGAGCGAAGGCTCATCCTGCTTTTAGGTAGCACCAGTATCCTGTTCCTCGTCTGCGTCAGCCCAATGGTTATCTTGAACGTCACTCTCAGCGAGAGTAATCTCAGCCACTATCCTTACCAGGTGACAAATTTCGTACTGCGTAACGTCTACGACTTTCTCGGTCGTGCCCGGCGGAAATTCGCGAAGAAACGTCGTACCTCCGCTGCCCTTAGCCTCTTTCGCGCAATCCATAATCAAATCGCGCCCCGAAACGGAAGCGATGAATCTGCTCCTCCGAGTCTCTCGACTCTGCTCTTCTTCTTCGGACGGTGCGCTGCCGCCGCCTTTTCGAGCCTTCTTCCGAGCGAACCGAGCCATTCGAACGAATTCGCCCGACGCCACGTTCGATTCTCCTCGATTATTCCCGCGCCTAATCCTTCGACTCACATCAATTATGATTCCGTCCACTTGGTAATTCGCCGCACTTGGTTGCAGGTGTTCCGAGCGCTCGCCAATCTGCTGGAGGTGATCTATTATTCGATCACGTTTTACATTTATTGCCTCTTTTCTGAGGACTTTCGCAACACCCTAATCCGCACTCTGCAATGGCCATGGGTGAAGAACGAGCAGGGCGGCAGGGGGCTGCCCATGAAGCGGTCTCCGATACCGAGGCCGACGACGACGACGACGACTCCGCCGACCACCGCGGTCGCAACCCCTGGACATCTGGCTCGTGCTAGCGTTTAACGCGGATTTTTTGCCGTCGACTCCGCCGTCAGCCGCCGTCCGGTCGGTCGCTGGCCGTCGCGCAAAAAGAGACGCAAAGAGAGCACGGATCTAGCACACATAATAGTCGCGCGCGTGAATGCCCGGGTGAATCAATTGTACGGGCGTGAACTCTGCGAAACAGCCAAATATCCGGACGATAAATGAACAAATAAAAGAGACGCATGAAAACAGTCCTAGTACCGCGCGGGAAGAGGCGAGCGTCAAATAATCTCGTGCTCGAGACCGGCGGCGAGACAGTGTATGTACCTGTGTATACATCCGCGTGTGTATGTGTGTGCATGCGTATGCATGCACCGGACGATGCATATAGGTTGTCGAAAATCCCCGGCGGTGTTCAGCACCTACCCTCCCTGCCGTTTCCCTTTCGGCGAGAGCAAAATAATTACAGGCGGTGAGGGAAAGCCCGAGCTACAGGCGTCATCAATTTTCCCTGCGGGCCGCTCTCCGGGCGAATCTTCCGATTCTTACGAGCGAAGTATCCGAACTATGTATATTTCGTGCACCGGCGGACTAGGGAATAGTTGCTGACTGCTTGCAGAGAGCAAGCAGCCACATCCATGGCGCAGCATTCTTGCGTACTAACGGCTCAAGCCGGCAGCGTGTCTGCATGTAGCTGCCGCTAAAGTTCGACTATTACGGAGGTCAAATCGACCGATCCGATTAGCCGGTTAATGTACGAATATTTCTCTCGAATGCGCGTGCGAACGTTGAACGGGCGAGCGAGCGAGTGAGCGAGCGATTCAACAGCTTTCAACAGGGCCGCGGCGATCGTATACGAATATCTCCTCATCGGTAGCTGAGAGCTGAGTAGCTCACGCGAGTTATCGCGTCGACTCCTCGAAACAACGACGAGAGTATATAAAGAGGCAAGGGATTCCGTGTAAGCCGTCGTCGAAGATCCCATGGGGACTCTTTCGTACTCTCGAGCACAAGCTGGGAAAGTTTCTCGCAGAGCGTTACGCCGGTGATCGAGTTTGCACGGGAAGCCGGGGCGCGACAGCTGAGGAAAAGAGAACACAGACGAGAAGGGGAGAAAGTGCGAGAAAGTGCGAGAGAGAAGGAGAAGAGACAGAGCTGGAGAAAGAGAAGCGAAGGAAAGGCTGGGAAAGAAATGCCGCGGTGAGAGCCGCAGCGGTGCGCGTCCGTCGCATTGTGACGCGAGGAATTTAGCAGAATTCGCGCACGGAGACGCGACGACAAGACTTGTGCATTGAGCCGCCCGAGCGATCACCGTCGCCGTTGGAAATTAAACCAGGAGCCCATCGGAGGAGGCAGAACGGCGGCGGGAGAACGCGGAGAGAAAGAGAAGGAGAGAGGAAAACGGTGAAAACGTACCTGATCGCGAGGGATGTTGTTTTTCTTCTTTTCTCCTTCGTCACGGAGAAAAGACAGACGAAAGACCGTCGAGAGGAAAATCAGATGGGGAACGAGGAGGTGCCAGTCGCACGTGTGCGGCCCGAAATCAGCGGCAACCAACGGATGAGAGCCATATTTATGAGGGCAACCGAGAGCGCGGTGTGCCAAAAAATTCCACGCGACCATTCAACGCGCGAAATTAACAAGAGCGATGTCGCACGCACGCTTGAGGGCAGAAGACGGGGGAAGTGTACTTATTCGACGCGATGAATATCGAGCCACGTGTCACTTCCGTGCGAACGCTGCGTAATTAAAGCGCCGGCGCAATATTAAGCGATACTACGTCGCCGCTGCCGCCGCCGCCGCCGCCGCCGCCATCGCCATCGCCGCCGCTGCCGCTGCCGCACGTCTGCGGCATTGATCTTTTGTATTCGCGGGAGAGCACGATGCACTCTCTCGCCGCATCGGGTCGCCGCCAAGTGACACGGTCGTTCGATCAGACCCGAGAGCGATCCACGCTCCGAGCGCTGATGCCGGATACTGAGAGACGGGGAATTGAATCTCGAGGAGATACACGTGCCCTGCGCGTGTCTACCAAAAGCGTGTCTAACAAGAACGTAACCGCGAGCATACCGCGGCAGCGAGCGTACGTACGTAGCCGCGAGCGCTCGACATTGCGCGGAACCGACGGCAGGACCGCGCCGCTGCGATGATAATATCGAACCCTCCGAAATAAGAGCGGCGCCGCCGCCGCCGCCGCCGCCGCCGCCGCCGCCGCTCTATCCCAGAAAGGTATTCTCGCCCCAGAGGAATCGATAATTTAATTCACCGACCGCGGCGGTCGGTCCGCGCGTGTTCCTGGCTCAATGGTAATATTATTTCGCTCATTTACATATGTACACGAAAGACACCTCGCACCTACGCAACGAGCTCTCTTTCGGAGACGTCGTTAGCGCACCCCGCGCGCCCGCTAATTTCGCCGAGAGCCAACGCTGAAATAAATCCGGACAAATGTCTACTCTACTTTCACACCTCCTCCCCGCGCAAACAGCCGTCCAATCCCGACGAGCACGAACGTGTCAAAGCCGCGATGCAGCTGTGCATAAAAATTTCACGTAAGTAATTTCGTGAGAAAGCAGGAAACATCAGCTCGCTCTCTTTCTTTCGTTCTCGTTTCTTTCCTTCAGACGTCTCTCGTTGCGCTTAACTTAATTTCCTGACCGCGGCCAAGTGATTTATGACGCGCACGAGTCCGCCGGAGAATTCCACGCTCGCGAATTTCTTGAGCCACTGTTTCCCGACGCTTCCCGCGAAAAAAACATAAATAAATAAATGAAAAAGAAAAAAAAAATATTTGCGCTACGTGTCCGACGGATATACTCGTCATGTCGAATGCGACAGCGGACTCGCTGTCGAAGCAGTTGACGAGTGAATGACGAATCCCCGCGTGTAAACGCGGCCCGCGGTCAATCGTTCCCGCGATCGATTTTCGCATCACGCGTCAGGCCGCGAGTTTTTCATATTTATCCGCTGGCACGTGCGCGCATCCTTGCCACACGGAGCGCCGATGAAATTGCGACGGAGGACGGAAGTGGTGGGAAAAATCGCCGCTGGTCGGTTTCGGTTCCATCGTGCGAGTTGCGGAGAAACCATTTCCGCACGGACGAAGAACACGCGAGAGAGGAACGAAGAGACAGCGAGAGAGAGAGAGAGAGGGGGGGGGAGCATGGAGTTGGTGGAATTTGCGCAGAGAACACGGAGTTAAGTGGAGGCGGCCCGAACTCCTCCGACCTCGGTACACCGCTATTTGGAAATAATTTAGACCGGCACGTGGGGTTCGTTTCGACCACTATAAATATGTCGCGGTGAGCGAGATGCATCGCGTGAGCACACAACGCCGGCTAGTCGAGCGGCCAACTGGTCGGCTAGTTGGCCGGCTAGTTGGCTGGCTGCATAGACCTGTCATCGTTCAGAGATAATTCAAGCGCGCGTACATCTTCGTTGGGTACCACGAGAGATATACGGTACGAGAGAAAGTGTGTTACGGCGAATACTGTACGTCATAATAAAATTCCGAAATGCACAACGGGCGATATTTACCGCCGACGATACAGGAGCCGCAGCCCCAACCGCGCCCGCACCCGCTCTCGCTTGTCCGTCTAATGCCAACAGCGGGCTGCTACACGAGGATCGGTGTACGTGCGCGGAAAGATATCCCTCCAACGCGTCTGGAGAATAAAATCGTGCGGGAGGCAATAGTCTGTACGATAAACCGAGGGATACGACCGATAGCAGCGGCGGCGGCGACGGCGGTTTCGCCAATAATGCTCCCTCGTATTTTTTTACTTGCAACCGTAGCACGGTAGGATGATGTACAACTGACGCCGTAAATTCCGCCGGATGATTCACGAGGTTATTCAGAGGGGGAAAAGAAAAAGCGTCTCTCGCGCAAGCAGAGAGAGAGAGAGAGAGAGAGAGAGAGAGAGAGAGAGAGAGAGAGAGAGAGAGAGAGAGAAAGAGTTCGTTATATACAATAACATCGCGTACTCGTGCGAAGTCGCGTCGCGAATTATTCCCCTCCAGCTTTGTCATGCCGGTTGTAAATCATCCCCGATTTCTTCAAGTCCGAGCGTGTCTCGCTCTTGTTCTCTCGCCCGACCGACGTAATGCGGATAATGTCCCCCGTCCGGCTCCGGATCGGGACGCGACACCGCGTCGCATCGCGGACCTCCGTTCTGTATCCGCTCCAAGATTCGGCGGAGACCCGAGGAGGAGGAGAAGGAAGAAAAAAAAGCGCAGGCAAAATTGTCCAGTCAGCACTGCGAAGACTCGAAGGGGGAGGGGAAGAAGGGATTAGCGACGAACATTCGACGGGTAAGGGGAAAAGGAGGAAGGGAGGGATCGTTGATCTCACGTGCTGCGAATAAAAAGTGGCCGGCGTAGACTTGGCGTGCGCGAGCGACGCATTGTGCTGGAATTTTTGGACGAAATGGTACCGGTCGCTCTGGTGGATGGGGTCATCCATGGTGGGGGTTGCTCTTTGGGTGGGCGTTGCTGGGTCGATACAGGGTGGCTTCGTCGACGAAAGCACCCACAGGGGTGAACGAGCACTCTCTACTGTCTACCCTTCGGCAATTCTCTTTCGGCGATTACGTTCGGGGTCGCGCGACTCTTTCGGGCGAATTAGCTTGTCCCTTAGACAGACGTTTCTCTTATTAGTCGCATGTCAAACGAGACGCGTCGAAGGGAGAACGATCCGCAAGAGTCACCCTGTCACGTTATTAATTAGGCTCTCTTTCTTAGGCGTCGCGAGCTCTCGTTGTAATAACGAGAAATTGATGAAGGTATCGGCTCTCTCAAAAGTTGAACCATTGACAGCTCGTTTACTTTAGATCTCAGAGGGAGAGAGAGAAAGAGAGAAAGAGAAAGAGAGAGAGAGAGAAGGAGAAGCATCGCGCAAAGGGACAATTTAATATAAGAGGAATAGATTGAAATAAAAAAAATTTGCAGGAATATTTCCCAGTGACTAATAGCGTGTTCTCCCGCGCGGATCAATCGAACAGCAGTGAATATTGATATTCGTTGTTTGAATACCATTAATTATTCGCCAGCCTCGTATCGTCAGTCTGTATAATCAGATGCATGATATTCCCCTCGATATCGAATGCGAACATTTATTTTTCACCGGCTGCTGCTCCAGTTGCGCATTGATTAATTTATAACACCCAGCGCTGGCTCACGTTCGCGGAAGTAGCGTATTAGCGCGTTGAAATTACGATGCATCGCGCCTGATAAATTCCGGACGGTCGTACATTCGAGTCGCCGCGTTACAGATGTTGCGCGTTTTATCGCAACAAATGAAAGGTACGAGGAGCGCGCGCGGTCAATGGATGGTACATTCGAAATTACGGAGATCGATATAAAACGATTACCGCTATACAATCGTAATGCGTGCGTGCGTGCGTGCATGCGTGCGTGCGTGCGTGCGAGCCCATTCCCGATTCCGAAGCTGCCGCCGAGACGGAATGTGCATAATGCGCGACAGAGCGCGAGGTGCCGTCCGATAATAATTATTCGTAATTTATTTCAGGGTGCAAATGGGAAGCAGCTTGCTTCGCTGCGCGTGCGAAATTGGCGTCGATGCAAATTGCTCGCGTGTACTTCGCTGCCGTGGTTAACGACTCTTCCGGTCGGTAGGTCCGGTGGGCCTCTAACGAAGCCGTTTACTCACGCCCCGCCGCATTCCGCAGGCCGTTGATAAAGAAGCGGCTGCGCCGCGGCAGATAGAGACACCCGAGCGGAAATAGTCCGATAAATCAGTGCCCGACATTATTGGAGCGTCTCGCTCCCATTCTAATTGCTACTACTGGGAAGGCCCTTCACTGTGCTAACTCGCAATTACTAAATTGTCACGAAACGCAAATGAGATGCACGCCGCGGGTTTGCATATCGGGCGGATTGTGCACACACGGGAGAATATACACACG